CTCATATGTGTCATCACGATGGATGGATTCATAGCGAAGAGAGAAAATTAAGCCATTGGAAACCCTGGTCTGTTGATCTCCTCAAGGGTCTTCTGACTGAGATTGGCTCTCTGGAGTGGGTGACTCACACGTGTCAGAAGATCCCGGAGTCTCAGAGAAATCACACAGTCGGTTCAGTCAAGCACATTTAGCCCCACAAATGCATCTCTCTTTTGCTTTACTCATTCTTAGATGGAGGGGGCAGAGAGGGGAATACTAAGATACACAGCACAATAAGATTCAGAACAGGAACTCTATGTTGGACACTAGGACACTATATTTTTATAATTGCAGGTTAACCATGTTTATATACTGTTTACTTTATACACGACATCTTAAATTTAGATTTGGATTGTAGTAACGTGCCTTTTGTAAAGCTGCTTTGAAATGATGATAATTATTGAAGAAAAAACAGGTAAATAAAAAAAGCTTGAATTGAATTGATTATTATTTTGATGGATATTTTCCAGGTTTTATTTGGAGCCTATATCATGTTTGCATGTTGAAAAATAGTTCACTCAGAAATGAAAAAGCATACATTGATATCAGAATTTCTCAAATCTACTTTCCTGACACAGAGAATACAACATTCTGATAAATGTCTACTTTGATGTTTCACTGAAGAATGGAAGTTGAATGGATTTTAACACTGGAGGGTGAGTAAAAGAGTTTTTTATAAAATATTTTCATAATTTCCAGTTATTCCCTTTAATGATTCTTGAGTAAAATCAGGTTGAACAAATTCAGCTTGTCGCCTTTAATTGTGAACTCAGGCACAAACATAATGACATTTTTGCAATTAAAATAAGTTGCTTATAATTATTTATAATTTCCTAACATTTTACCAAATTGAACTCTTTGGCCAGACTCTTGAGATATGCTTTCAATGTAAATAAATAAATCAGAATAGCAATATAGTACCAAAATCATTTTAAAAGAGCAAAATATATATATGCTTTTATTCTAGTCGAAATAAAACAAAAAAAGACTTTCTTCAGAAGAAAAAATATTATCAGATATACTGTGATATGCTCTGTTAAGAATAATTTGGGAAATATTAAAAAAAGAGAATAAAATCCAAGGGGGGCTTATAATTCTGACTTGACTTCAACTGTGTATATATATATATATATATATATATAAATATATATATATATATATATATATATATATATATATATATATATATATATATATATATATATATATATATATATATATATATATATATATATATATATATATATATATATATATATATATATATATATATATATATATATATATATATATATATATATATATATATATATATATATATATATATATATATAAATATATATATCTCAAAATAAATCTAATATAAAAACCAACAGCACCTCATCTTAAAACACCCGGCAGGCAATCCCAAGTTTACATATCTCACAGTTTGCTATGACAATGATGTCTTCATCTACTTCATAATTATTCAAGACCCACAGACATACTCGCTCGGTGCTTTCCTCTTTAAGCTTATTCCGTGTTCTAATTTGCCGATAAATTACCTAATAGATTATATATATCAGCCGATTCCGATCGAGTCTCTAACCGTGTGATCGGGCCCGTTTTCCTATCACCTGATGTGATCTGGACATCCCTATAAATAAATTGATCCTGCTTAATAATGTGCACTGCTATGCATTTTTTATACAGTGGACAGCTTTAAAGGTGATTTTCTAAAATGAAGTTTTTTTAACTTTGGATTTTTCAAATAGTTGTGTCTCTGACAAATATTACCTTATTCTGCACTGTACATTTTAGACAGTTTAATTAACAGTTTCCGTATTTTGTGATTCACAAGTGTTTTCCTTTTATTTACAGTTGTGAATTGCATTATGGGACTTTGATCAGTGCTCTGTGGACTTGATGTTGAAAATTCAACTCTACAGTTTAACAAAGTGACTGTTGTTGACAATTTAGTGGGGGGTAGAGAATGGAGAACTGCTATTTATGGATCAAAATGTGTGCTCAAGTAGTAAAGGACATAATTACTGAAGTAAAATTAAAAGTAACAATCGTAAGAATTACTTGTAATAGAATATCTGATAAAAACTACTCAACTAGCTAGTTACTAGTTACTTTTAATCTGATTAATAAGCAAAAAGCCTTAATTTTAATCTATTTTGCTTAGCTTAAGTGGTTTATTTGTGATGTTACACACACACATAGCAAGTCAAAAGCAGCATGGTGGCTCAGTGGTAAGCACTGTCGCCTCACAGCAAGGTCACTTGTTCAAGTCCGTTGGCAACTGGGTCAGTTGGCATTTCTGTGTGGAGTTTGCTTGCTCTCACTGTGTTCACATGGGTTTCCTCCGGGTTTTCCATTTCCCCCACAGTCCAAAGACATGCTGTATAAATTAATTGGGTGAACAAAATTGGCCATAGTGTGTGTGAATGTGAAAGTGTATGGATGTTTCCCAGTACTGGGTTGGAGTTTAAAGGGTAAATAAAATTGGCCATATGCCAAAATAGTTTCCGGTTCATTATGCTGTGGCGACCTTTAAAATAGATACTAAGCCGAAGGAAAATGTATGAATGAATGAGTATAAAATAAAAGTTAATTAATTCATTAATTTTCCTTCGGCTTAGTCCCATTATTCATCAGTTTTCACCACAGTGGCATAAACCGTCAAAAAAAAAAAAAAAGTTGAAATAAAAAGAAAAATTATTAAGGAATTCTAACTAATTTTGACTTTAACCGCATGTTTTTAACACATAACACATAATCCTTTTCGCTTCAGAGACTTTCTGATCGAGTCGATGAGGGTTCCTCCTGCTGTGACCAGCGATTCTGAGCGAACGAGAGCATTCTCCCGGTCCAGAGTGTGTACACGCAGTGGCAGACGGTCGAGCTGGGTTTCTCCCTTGCCTGGCGTTCTTTGGGTCCGGTCCTCCAGAGCGGTGCGTATAAAGTTGCAAACTTCACAGAAAGAGCAACACAGTCGTGCAGCACGTCCTTTTCAGGACGGCGCTCCGACTGTGCGTTTCTGGATGCGGTGGTTTCCTGTCCTCGGATGATGGGCGCGGGCATTGCGTTACATGTCTGGGGGTCCAGCATGTTAATGCGCTGCTCGCGGGCAGTTCATGTCGTCATTGTGATGCCATGACTGTTGCGCAAGATCGCGGTTAGCCTTTGCAAAAGGGTGAACCACCCCAGTTGTCCCCTGCTCTGCAGCGGGCACTCGGGCAGATCTGAGGGTTTCAGCGAGAGATAATCCGTCGCCCACGGGCCCGCGGACCTCCCGCTCCTCTAAGCGCTCCATCCAAGCTTCGGGCGGGGGAAGCGATCCGTCTAACAGATGGTAGCCCTTACGCCCGATGACACAGGAGACCAGATGTCCACCGCGACATCGGAGGGTGGGCTTTCATTGTCCGATGATGATCCAGACCCGCTCGCCCCCTTCGGGCTGGTGAGCGCTGTCACTACGGATCCTGAAACGGACATGTTAGCCGTGCTTTCCCGGGCTGCTTCGGCCGTGGGTTGGAGATGGTTTATCCCCCAGCTCCGCGGCCGGACCGACTAGAGGGGCGTTCCCTTCTTCCCGGAGGTGCACAGTAGGCTCACGCGGTCTTGTAAAGCACTTTTTTCTGCTCGTGCTGCGTGTTCCTCCACCCTAACCACTCTTGACGGTGAAACAGCCAGGGGGTATGTGGCGATTCCTCAGGTTGAGTGCGCGATGGCGGT